GGGGCTTTAGGGATCTGAGGCTCCTGGGGAGAGTCTGCAGCAGTAAAGACAGAGGCAAAGAAGGCATTCGGGACCTCTGCCTTCTTTATATCCTCTGTCACCAGGGCACCCACTTCATTCAACAGTGGTCCTATATTGCCTGTAGTGTTAGTTTTGTCAGCTATGTATTTGAAAAAGCCCTTTCTATTATCCTTGACCTGACTTGCAAGGTTAAGTTCCAAGGAGGCCTTAGCTTTCCTAATTGCCTCCCTACATTGTCTGACCAACTGTTTTTAACAATCAAGATGGCCTTACATCCCAGTGAGGAAGTGAAGAAGCTGTTACATGGAGGGAACCTAAAGCACAAAGTCATAGAAAACTTTGCCAGGACTAGAACAGAAAATCTGTGGCGCACACACTTCCTGGCTCCCAGCCCTGTGTCTCAACTGTAACAAATTCTTTCCTGTACACACACACACTGAAAGAGAAATTCTAGTAAACAGACAAAAAATGCTTTAGAAATCATCACCACCCATGAAAATGACTGGATAAATAATAAACAGCACTTAGGGCAAAGAAAACACTGTCCTGCCAGGGTCTGTCTCCATTGTAGCAGGTAGCACAAGTCCTCTTGCATAAGCCTGCTTCACCCAAGTGAGAAAAAAAGCCTGTACCATGGTACAGCTGTGCCTCTACAAGCAGCAACACTGGTTTTGTTCTAGAGTAATGGAGTTGCATGTGGTGCTGTGTGCATCCCTGACAACCTTCATTTAACAGTGCATACATTGGCTTTGGAAACACTGCAAGAATTTATTACAATGCTATTAATGTTGAAGTTGTGTTTTTTTCTTTAAAGTAAGAGCTTCTAGTAGTAGCATCAATACCAGACTAAATGCAGTACACGAGTCAAGTTCAAAATTCATTTCACCTTTCACTATAATTTGATGCCAGCACTGAAGACTAGTCTCAGACTCCACAGAAGCTGTTGGTGGCAGTGTCCTACAGCCATTCTACTAGCACACTGGTAGGGTTATAAGGACTTATTCTGTCCCCCTGTTCAACATTGGAATTGGTTTCAAATCCAAGATCACTCAATGGTGTAAAGAGTTCTAGATATCTAAACTCAGGCATCTAAACTCATATAAGCAGAGTTAAGTGGTAACAGACCAAAGAAGTGTATGGAATCTGTTCGCTGCTGAAGTGAGAGATGATTTCAAGCATCTCATCAGCTCTTAGCTTTAAGGAGCTCACACTCACTCTGCTTTCAATGCCTCTTCAAAACCCCCAGGAAGCCTGCTGATGGAAATGCAGTCTTTACTCATGTAGCATCAGCAAGAAATGACGGGTCCTAAGGTCCTAACTCATTCCCACCTCTGCTGCAGAAAGGCAGACAGACTTACACATGCATCTCCCTGCAATGGCAGCATTGTTTCCTTAAAAAAAAAACACAACCTCTCAGCACACAGGGCTGTCCCTACAGCTGCTTCCTCCTGGTTCCCACCTCCCCATCCCAAAGGAAAATTTACCCAATGTGCAGGAACAAAAGCAAGGTCATTAACACATCAATTCTTCCTCCATAACGACTGATAAACTTTATTTTTTTTAAGCATTGGGGCTTACTGAAGGCTCTTCCAAACCTGGCAGCAAAGAGTCCTGCAAGGCAACCCAAGGCCAGGAAAGCGTGCCATGAAGCTTCCTCCCGGCTGATGCTAGAGCCCAGAAGGGAGGCTGCTCTCAGCTCCCTCAGGTCACAGTGCACTAACACAAGTTTTTCAGCTCAGAGAAGCCTGCACAAATTACAGCACTGCTTGATCACGATCAGCCACATCTCATGTTAGAAAAGGGGTATACAATTCACTCTTGTCATTCGCACATTTACACTAAAATGAGTCAGACTGCCCGCTCAGTCATATCCCTCCTCACTGAAACCTGATACAAACTAAAAACTTGTCAACTTGGGGTTTTCAGATTTTATTCTGCAGGTGGAAAAACCCTGCAGCTGAATACTATTTCTGGATGCATAAAAATACAACTTAATTCTTCAACTAGTGTAAAGTGCATATACTGTTCTGCACCAAAAAGGTGCAGGTGCAAGAGCAAGTTCCAAAGACAACAAAAGCGTATACCCAAGCCCCAAAAATACAACCCATGGTCACAAAAGGAGCAACAACGTGGGCCACAGCAAGGCAGGTGCTCTGATAGATGAACTGAAGGCTGAGGATACACCATCACAATTGCTCTAATGTACATTTACTGTGCTAAAATGGACAGTGCCTCTGGTTAGACATCCCCACGCTGCCTCTGTGCACCCAAACCTTCACCCAAATAGAAAATCAAATACTAATGAATGAGACACACTCATTTCCATTAATTTCTCTCTCTAAATGTGAATTATTGCTTGGAGTTTTAATACGTGACATCAAATTTCTCTATTTCGGTGACTTTCATTCCAGTAACTGAGCCTGCCTCACAGTTTTCCTGTGCAAACAAAGTCAGAGCTCAGAGCTCCTATGGCCCGATGTGCAACTCAGGGACTCTGACAGGAAATCTTCCCTTTCACCCTGCAAGGCTTTCAAGAAAAGAAACAAAATGTAACCACATGTGGTGACATCTTTTGTGAACAAAGCCAGGTAAGGCAACTTTATTCTAAGGTACAATTTAAGGTGGACACACAAGAGACTCTGCCAAGACCAGATTTTCATTTCTTGCTGTCTTAAAAGTGGAAAATGCACTAAACTTCACAGTTAAGTATGGCTATCAAAAATAGTGAAAAAAGTTTCTTGTGGTTACACCCTGTTGAAGTGAAACTGCTTGATTTTACCTCAAAATCAAAGTGAAAGAACTTCACAGTGGAAACTCATCAAGAAAACTTGAAATAAAATATGTGAGACCCATTTTTGCATGTTTCTGAATTTTGTCTGGCATACTTTACATTAAGAAACTATGCCAAAACCCTGTGAAGTGCTATTATTTACTCTCCTTTGGAGCAGACTAGAAAGGTTTTGCCCAGAGCCTTGCTTAGGTACAACTGATTAAAATCTAGTTCAAAAGAACCATGCCACCCAGCCAGATATGAAGAGATTTGTTATTCTAAGACTTAGAAATAGACTGGTTTTGATGCCAGAAGTGAGTCTATCCAAGCTGTTGTTAAATAAATTACTCTGTCTAAAGTGAGATTTATCTCCTATCTGCCCCTACAGGCAGTAAGAGCTGCTTTTTTTTTATATTTACTTAACAATTTAATTAGTTACAACTTGTTTTTGCTTCATTAATCAGTGACTAATGGGAGTATTTTGTGCATGTGCAGTAACTGGACTCCTTTAAATTAGCAGAAACAATTGCATAGCACAGTATTTATTTTGGCATATTAATTCTGTGCTTGAAGAAAACGTTTTCTGTACCACAAGTTGTTTTTTTTTAAGTGAAGTATTTTTTTGTAAAAAGAACCATCTTTCTGATAATATAGCTTAAGATATCCAGCATCCACCAACACCATATCCAAAAAACCCTTAAACCCTGGATGTGTTTAAGGGTTGTTTGGATGTGGTGTTGGTGGACATGGTTTAGGGGAGAACTTTGTAGAGTAGGGATGATGGTTGGACTCAGTGATCCCAAGGGTCTTTTCCAACCTGAATAGTTTTGTGATTCTATTCTGATTCTATATGCTTTCCAATCTGGAACAAATTAAAAATTTAGCCTCCCACTGCAGCACATCACAGTCCTAGGAATATCCAAGAGCAATCCACAGGTTCACAATCTTTATGACTCTCACTAACTATTTGGTGAAATTATTTAATTACCTATCAATGTCACTTTGCCCCTCCTGAGGTCTATACTGGTGCATCATGGGAATCATGAGAGATCAGCAGATTTCTACTGATCAATGTCTTATCTATCACAAGCAAAGATATCAATCAAAAAATGTAACGTTACTTGTATCCTACATAAAACATAAAACCCCACAATTATCTCCAAAGAAAAACAGGCATTTTAAGGTGTGAGTTATTCAGACACCTAGAAGTCTCCTCGTAACTGAAAAAAAAGATTTTGCATGGCAGCTTTCAGAGTCCAGCCACACTGACAAAGGACCTTTGGGGCAGTAGGG